AAGGGACGAGGATAAGGGTATAGATAGCCTGATGAGGTCCCACCCCACCTCCGCAGGATCGTGCCTGCCCGGGAAACCCCCGCGCTTCCACCCGGGCGCATCGCGTCCCGCTGTGCGCTGTAGGCGTGGGCGTAGCGCAGCGGCACAAGGCAAACGTGAGGTCGTGAGTTCGATCCTTTGCACCAAAACAAAAACAAAAAAACCGAAAACCTGGGCTGTAGCAAGAAGGTGACAGGAGAGCCAGTCACCCGGCAGGAATGCGGGCGGGACGAGGGCGCACGTGTGTCCTCCGTGTGTCCTCCCGCCCAGACCAAGGCGGCCCCGCCCGCATTTGCAGCGCTGCGCCCACCCACAGTGGGTGTGGCTGGAGGGAAAGAGGTCGGGAGCCGCAGAGGAGGACACTGTCGCTGGGCCTCGCCCCACAGTCCAAAAGGGGGCAAAGGGACGAGGATAAGGGTGTAGATAGCCCGCGCGTGGGGCCCGTCCTTCCCCCTCTTCCAGGATTGGAGCCTGAAGCTGCCCTGGCTCTGACCCCGTCCTCGTCCCTGTGGCCCAGCGCGGGTTCCTGGGTACCTGAGCATCCAGGCCAGGAGAGAGAGCGTGTTCAATGCGCCGGTCCGGGAGCTTACAAGGAGTCAGGCCAGGCAGGGCGGGGACTCCGCCTTTGACCACAAGGAAGACCCTCAGAAATAAGCGGGTGACCCCAAGAGGGAGGATAGGACAGGACGCTTGGACTAAGGGGGGTGGGGCGCAGGTCGGGGGTGAGGGGGAGGATGCACAGGGTGCAGGATAGGGACGTCCCAGGGCCACCCGTGTGGGTTGGGCCTGGACAGTCATCTTCCACAAGGGAGCAGAGGGGCAGCGACTGGAGAGAGGGCAGATGAGAGGGGAGGCAGTGGACAGCCCCAGGCCCGAGGCCCCTGGGTGGCCTCTGTCCACCTCTTCTGCTGCAGGTGAGCTGTCTCCCAGTCGTTCCTCCCCCCAAGCCGAAGCCTCTGAGGCCACAGGTGAAATGAAGAGGGACCTCAGGGGCCGAGCACCCTCTGGCTTGGGCTTCTTTGGGATTTTGAGAGCAGCAAGGACATTCTCTCTAGGGATTCCGTACACAGGCTTACAAGGTGTAAACAAGTTGGGACCCCTTGAATGGTTACCATTGCACAGCTGGCCAGGGCAGAGGATTCGTGTGCGCGGCCTTCCTACAGCCTGGGTTTGAGCTGTTTCCAGATTTCTCGCTTGCAGGCAGCTGGTCCTGATGCATAATTTAAAATCAGTTTCCTCCTCTGTGAAATGGGTAAAAGCAGTTGCCCCACAGGGCTGCTGTGAAGATTAAACTAGGAGACAGGCTGAGGACCAGGATAGCGTCTGGGCTGCCGGAGCCAGGCAGGAAGTGGGGTTCTCTTGCCCTGGCTTCTGCTTTGACCGTGTGGTTCTCCCATTCAAGGCCTCTGGTTCTCCTGTGCCCATCTGAACTGACTCCATCTCCGTTAAAACCCGAACCCCTTTAGGCTTCTGTAGTCACCTGCAGCGCAAGAGCCTGCCCACCTGTCAGTCTGTCCATCTGTCCCACAGGGCCTCAGCCTGTGCCAGGCAACCACTCTTGACTCTCCATCCTCACCCTCCCCAGCACCGACAGGCCTGGCTCGGAGCTCCGCAGGGCCCAGGGAGAGTTCTGCCACGTCTTCCAGGCTGAGGGCCACCTACTTCTCTGCACTGCACTGTGCACCCCAACTGGCCTGCCGCTCCTTTGGGGCAAGGCACAAATCCTCCTCCTTGCCGTAACTTCCAGAGGGAAGCACATGTTCGCCCAGCTTGGGAGCTCCTGGCGGGGCAGATGGCAGCACGGAGCTGCTGTGGTCAGGGGAGATCTCCTCCCCCAGGAGTGCGGCTGCCCCCAAGGCTCTGCTCTGGGCTTGGCTTTCCTTTTGGTGCTGGAGGTACCCCTGCACCCCCACTTTCTCCTGCTGCCCAGCCATCACGGGGCTCTCTCTCTTTCTGGTGGGGCCGGGTGAGAACCTTACTGTAGAGGCCAGTAGACCTGCCTGTATGTCTGTGGACATCACCCAGGTGACCAGATTCCCAGAGGGCGGCATGCTGTGTGCACACCCAGCCAGGTTAACGGGGAGCACAGTGTGACGTCCCCAGTATCTGCAGGGAATGCAACCCGGGAGCCCAGCCGTGCCCAGCCCTGGACGCACCAGGCTCTGACTTTTCCCTTTTTCCTTGTCTAGGATGAAGCTCGACATACACATTAGGTGCAGTAAGAAATGAAATAGAATCATCATAGCAGCATTTGGGTTATAAGAAAAGTTATTTAAAATGTATGAATTGTTTATTTCTGGAATTTTCCATTTCTTTTCAGACCACACTCGACTATGAGGAACTACAACAGCGGAAGGAGAAACCATGGCTAAGGGGCCGGTGGCAGCACGCGGCTGGGCAGGGTCACAGCGGAACAGGAGCGTGCATGGCGTGGAGCTCAGAGGGCCCGGGCTGGGCAGGGCAAGCTGGACCTGCAGCCCAGGGTGGCGGGGCGGGCAGGGTGGACAGGAGCACAGGAGGAGAGCAGCCTGGAATGTGGCACGTGGGTGGCTGGAAGCTGGCGGGAGGCCGAGAGAGACTGAGCCTCCTCCAGCTTGGCCGTCCCGCCAAGGTCTGACAGCAGCGGGGAGGAATGTGGAAAAGAAACCAAAACAAACTGTGCCACCTCTGGCTTGTGCTGGAAAAGAAAATCCCACATGCCCTGGGTCTCCTGCCTCCTCCCCGCCCACTGGCTGCAAGGCCCCTGCCCCTCACCCCCACTCCCTTCCTGCCCCAGTAGCAGGAGCCTCCTTCCCAGGTCCGGTGGGTCTGGCAGTCCAGGGAGGGTGCCGCAGGCCTGCGGTCCAGAGAGCGGCAGCCGTGTCTAACGGCAGCCGGGCCTCAGTCCGCCTGCTGCCCTGCCATGGGCAGTAATAGGAGCAGCCGTGGAGCTCTGTTTGCTGAAGGCTGATGTCGGGGCTACGCCCCTCTCCCATTTCTTCCTCCCGGTAATTTCTTGTTAGATCTTTGCAAAAACTCCCAGTGCTGGTGTTATTTAAAAAATCCTCCCCACCTTTCTTATCTCATGGTACTGGGGGTCACACCCAGGGCCTTTACACTGAGTTATATCCCCTCCTGATTTTGGGGGGATCCAGGGTCTCTCTAAGATGCTACATTGCTCAGGCCGGTCTCAGACTTAGAGTCTTTCTGCCTCAGCCTCCCAGAGCGCTGAGATTATAATACAGTTGTGCACCACTGTGACCAGCAAAATATCCCCATTTTACAGGTAAAGAAACAGGTCAGGTGGGCTGGGGTCACAGCTCAGCGGCACAGTGCCTGCCTGGCAAGTACAAGGTCATGAGATCTATTCCCAGTACCCCAAAAATGAAAATAAAATAAAGAAAGAACCAGGTCAGGGAGCTTTCGTGAGCTGTGTGAAGTCAAAGGGTGAGCCGGGATTTAAACCTCCATCGTTCTGATACTAGAGGAAGAGGTTTCGTCTGTATAGTTCCCTAACACAACCCTAACCCTAACCCTAACCCAACACCGATCCAAACATACCCTAACCCTACCCAACCCCAACCCTAGGCAGCTAACTCTCACCTTCTTCTTTTTTTTGAGACTGGGTCTGGCTATGGAGTTGTCCATCACCGAACTCACCATGTAGCCCAGGCTGGCCCTTAGTTTGTGGCAATCTTCCAGCCTTCCAAGTGCTGGAATTATAGGGGTGCACCACTGCACCCCATTTAACCCTAACCTTCTAATGGTAACCATAACAATAACCCTAACCCTAACCTCCCAGGTCCCTCCCCCTTCCCATGGGTCCTTGGTCCCAGAGGGTGGTCAAGGGCCGTACCAGGTGCGGGCCAGTAGCTGCACGTGGTTGTTTACAGTCAATGAATTAAATTTATGTGACATGTAAGAGTTGCTCCCTTAGTGGGTTACAACAGCCCTAGCTCCAGGTGTTTGGTGACCATGTGGCCAGATGGCACGGGACTCCGATGTCACCTCTGGCCTAGGGCTGAAGGCTGGTTGGGAGACCCAGAGAATGGGAGGCCAATTGGGGAGACCAACTGAAGGGCGGGGGGAGGCGATGCCTTCAAGGGGAGACAGGAAGCTGTAGAAGTAAGCTGGGGTGGGGAGGAGGCTCCGCCAGGCCAGCCATCGGAGGCGAGGAGGGCACAGGAGTCTCCCAGGCCCTCCCTCGATACTGATACTGGGGGCAGTGCTCTGAGCAATTGGCCAGGGTGAGGCCGGGCCACAGAGGGAGGGCCAGACCTGCAGGGAGAAGCCACCACCCTCTTCGCAGATCCCCAGCCCTGGTCCTCTGAGCTTCAGGGCCCGGAGCCTGCCAGCCCTCCTTAGCGCTACCCAGACTGTCCTTCCCTGGCTGCTTCCTGCTAGCTCATCCGGGCTCGTGCGCCAGCTAATGGGGACCAGGCCCCCACCTCTGCAATTAGCCCCATTAGCTGCTTGCTCAGCCCTGGGCCCTGGGTCACCTCTAGGGGAGAGGCTGTGAGTAGCCTGTGAGTAACTGAGGCCCAGCTGTGACAGGTGGCCCCAGCTCGGGCCACCCCCAGGCTGAGCTCCAGTACCCCCAGAAGGGAGACATCAGGCAGCTGGGGTCTGGGGACAGGTGACAGGCATGTGGCAGGCTGGACTGGGGCAGTGGCACCAGGGGAGATGGGGGGCAGGAGGAAAGTGGAGGAGGGACAGGGTTCCAAGGGAAGGGGTGGATGGGGACAGGAACCCTGGGGGTCGTCCCACGCAGCGGGGCGGAACAAGGCACTTCCTGGGTGCAGAAGAGAAAGCTGAGATGCCCACGTCTCCAAGGACAGGAGAGCAGGGGGTCACCCCGGCCGACCTGAGGAGGCAGAGGGTGAAGCAGCCAAGTGACTGGGTCCCCTCGGCCGAGCCCCCACTCCACGGCAGAGCTGCTGAGTAGGCAGATGCACGAGCTGATTACTCCAGCTCCCGGCCACGCCAGCCTCCCCAGGCCCCTCCCCACAGTGACTCCTGCCCGGAGAATGTCCAGCCCTGGCATAAAGGCCACGGTGTCTCCGGGCCGCTGTCAGTCAGGAGGCTGCCCATCCACCATGGGAGGGCTCAGGGTGACCATCTTGCTGCTGGCTGGCCTCCTCCTGCCAGGTAGGAGGCTGGGACCCTGGAGGTGGGGAGAAGGGATGCAGATCCCAGGATAGGGCAGGCTGGGCCTGCAGGGTCTCAGGACAGACCCGGGCAAGGGATGGGTGCTGGACCCTGACCTCTGAGCCCAGAGGCGGCTGTTCCTGACCTTGTCACCTCGGTGAGTTACTTAAGCATCTGATCTTGGGTGCTGAAACTCTGCATGGGCTGCATGGTGGCATTCAGCCAAGTCCCGGCCTGGCTCAGTTCTGCGTGTGACCTGGGCTCCGGCTGGGAGGGCCACGCAGATGCTGCACTGACGGTGACAGGAGTGCTGGGAGCTCGAGACTGGATGGATGGCTCCTGGCCATAAACCTGCTGTGTCTCTCAAGTCTTTTTTCTGTCCTAACGGCAGTTTGGATCATTACAAGAATCTCTGGAGAGACGGGTTATTCCCGCTCTGCCGACGAGGACCCTGCAGCTCAAGGGCCAGAACAGGGCTCAGGGTCAGTTAGAGGCAGCTTGGTCAGGCCCAGCGGCAGTGGCCCTGTTCTGCCCGTCACTTCAAGAGGCTTCATGACCTCCCCGCACAGGGGAACGGGGCGGGTGTGTGTGTGTGTGTGTGTGTGTGTGTGTGTGGTGTGCCCAGGGCCTCTGGCTGACTTCAGGTGAAGACAAGGGCACAGCAGTGTACGAAGCCAGGACAAGGGTGCATGGAGGTGGCAGGGCTGCCTGTCTAGAGCCCCTGCTGGGTTGAATGTCTCACTCATGTGCACAGGAGCACGGAGAGGACAGCGGCAGCGGGAGGCCACCCAGTCCCTGGTGTCAGGCCAAATCCCAGGGGTCTCATAACGTGCTGCTGTGTGCCTCTGTCTGCGCCCCGGGGGACTCATGCAGGAGGCAGAGAGCGGGCAGAGGGTGGAGGAAGGAGGTGGCTCCGCCTCTGGAGAGGCAGGGCCGGTGACAGCAGCTGATTGCGGTCAGGCCACGAGGCTCTCAGGCTCTCGTGCCTGTGTCCTGGGGCTGGGCCATCCAGGCAGAGGTGGCTCCGGGCGTGGTGCCCGTCGCACTGGTACTGGCGGGTTCTGAAGCAACAGGCGCGCGCCCCCACATCCTGGGCCCGCCCAGCTTTACTGGCGTGGCCAGCGCTGACGCAGGAAGCCGGACTCTGCAGCCCTCGAGCACTCTGGCCTTTGCGGCAGCCCTGTGCCGCGGGTTCTCTCGCCCAGCGTCTCTGTGTTCCCGGCCTCTGTCGCTTTCCCTTTCACCTCCTCCTCGGTCTCACAGCTGCCACCAGCACCACTCTCGGAACTCCACCTTCAGTCCTTTTTAATTTTGGGGGCGAATACGGATACTAACAATCAAACTTGAGACCTCACACTTGCCAGGCAGGCTCTTGTGCTGCTGAGCTAAGTCCCCAGCCCCTTTAATTTTTAATTTTGAGGTAAGTTCTCTGGAAACTTCCCAGGCTAGGCTGGACCCCGCCGTCCCCTGCCCCAGCCTCCCAGGACACTGGTTACAGGTGTGTGCCGCCACACCCAGCTGGCCCTCGGTTTCCTCCGATTTCTCTCTCTCCGTCTCAGCTCTGCCTCCCTTCAGATCCGTTTGTTCCCCTCCGCTGTTATCTGTTCCTTCTTCCTGCGGTGCCCGGCACTCTGGATTTTGCCATCTGTTTTTTGGGAGTCAGCTTCCTCCCCACTCAAACCCTCTTCCTAGAGCAGGGACACTGCCCATCTCCTGCCGCCTCAGTGTCCTTTAGCTGCTTCTCTCTTTCCTGCGCCCCAGAGCTCTGCTGGGTTCCTCCGGGAGAGACCAGAGTGACAGGAGCGGGAGGTAGCGTCCTCTCTCTGCCTGACTGACCGCTGCTTCTCTCCCCAGGGACCTTGGCTAAGAGCATCCGGACCTTCTCAGACCCCTGCAAGGACCCCACGCGAATCACCTCGCCCAATGACCCCTGCTTCCTTATGAAGGGCCACTCTGGTGGCAGCAGCCTCAGCAGCCACGGCGGCTCCAGCAGCACCTTCAGCAGCTCTGCTTCTGGTTCCAGCAGCTCCGGCGCTGGATCTGGCCGACCAGGTGTCTCCCAGAGCGGCCCTTCGGGAACTGTGGTGTTTAAGCCGGGGCCAGCCCACGCCCAGGTCAGCTTCTCCTCCAGCTCCAGCTCCCAGGGCTCCTCCGGCTCCTCCCAGTCGGGAACCAGCAGCCGAGGGCCTGGGAATGGCTCCGCTCTGCCAACTGACGACTTCTCACACTCGGTGTCAGGCTCGTCCCAGTCCCGGTTCCGAGGAAGCTCCAGCTCTGGGTCATTGGGCAGCAGCTCCAACCTGCGTCCCTGCAGCGCCAACGTCCCTGACTCTCCCTGCAGCGGGGGGCCCGTGGTCTCACAGTCCGGCTCCTACATCTCCAGCTCCCACTCTGTGTCGGAGGGGAAGAGGCCCGTAGTGGTGGTGGTGGAGCAGCACGGCTCTGGGGGCCCCGGAGTGGTTCAGGGGCTACCCTGTAGCAATGGTGGCCCCTCGGGCAAGCCCTGTCCCCCTATCACCTCCGTGCAGCAGCCCTACGGTGGCTATGAGGTGGTAGGCGGCTCCTCTGACAGCTACCTTGTCCCGGGCATGACCTACAGCAAGGGCAAGATCTACCCTGTGGGTTACTTTACCAAAGATGGCCCTGTCAGGGGCGCCCCAGGGGCTCCTCCACTTGCAGCCGGGCCCCCCATCTCTGAGGGCAAGTACTTCTCCAGCAACCCCATCATCCCCAGCCGCACCTCCTCAGGTTCCTTCCAGGGAGGAATGCCCCCCGCCATTGTGTTCCAGCCTGTGGGCTCCGGGGGGGTCCAGCCTTGTGGAGTCAGCATCTCAGGGTCTAAGGGGCCCTGTGGTCCCTCGGGTTCTGGGGTGCACATCAGTGGTTCTAGCTCTTCCTACCAACCCTGCGGCAGCTCTTCCCAGGGGCCTTGCTCCCCGTCAGGCCTCAGCTCCCTCAGCGGCAGCTCCTCCTCGGGCACCAAAGTCATCCTTCAGCCTTGTGGCAGCAAGTCTGTTTCTGCGGGCCACCCTTGTATTTCTGTCTCCTCGTCGACCTTGAGTGGGGGTCCTGATGGCTCTCCTCAGCCCGATCCATCTGCTGGTGCCAAGCCCTGTGGCCTCAACAGCCCTGGGAGTATTCCCTGCCGCTCCATCCGGGACATCCTGACCCGAATACAGCCCCTGGGGCCCCAGCTAGCAGACCCTGCGGTCTTCCTGCCCCAGGGAGAGGAACCTTCGAGGTCCTGAGCCAGCTTTGCAGATGCATGTGCATGGTGCACCTGTGCTCCAGCTCGCAGTGGGGAGACGCCGGGCCAGGTTGGGGCCAGCTGTGTCCCCCCACCCCGCCCAGGGCTGCTTGATACCCCAGGATCACCACTGTCTCCACTGTCCCAAGCCCTGGCCTGCCTCTCCTCACTGCCCTACTCCAACCCTGCTCTTCTGCCCTCTGCCAGGTCCCATGGCCTTGCCAGCTCTCCTGAGGTCTCTAGGATGACCAAGACAGATGAGCGCTGGTTAAGCCCACCCATTTGGGGTCTCAGCTGCAAACCCCGAAATGTGCCCACCCTTTGATGCCCAATGTGTCATCCTGACAGCCCTGATGGGTTCTGCCAGCCTGGGGCTTAGCTACCTCTAACATGGCATCCACCCAGCTTGGGACTGGACCCCCCAAAACTGCAGCATCTCTCTCCGAAAGTACCTTCTGAGTTTCTCTTCTAGTTCCAGAAACAACCCCCCCCCTTTTCCCACATGCACCAAGCCCTCTCCAACCCCAAGGCTCCACAACCACCCATGAGCTCGTACCCCCAGCCCAACTCCATAAGGGCTGTCCCCAGCTCCCCTTTGCGGAGGGTCTTTGCAGTCTCTACCAGCCTCCCAGGCAGGCAATAAAGGCTTTTTCTTATCTCTGTCTTTGTGTCTCAGCTGTGCCAAAAAGCCTAACACCCCCCTCTGCCAAATAAGCAAAGTCCAAGCCATTCCCCAGACAGCGCCCAGGCTTCCTGAGCCCTGCTGATTATCTGCTCAGCTGGATTGGTTGGGGTCTCCCCCAGCCTAGCTCCCCCTTCAATGAGCCACCTCTTTGTCCTTCTCTCATCTCTGCCCTTGTGTTACCCCATCCACCACTGACCACCTCGAGTCTCACAGTTCTTACAGGTGAGCCATCTCTCGCTTTAGGGTTCTTGTCTCCACATCAGGAACCCCAAACACACACATACTTTGGTGATGGCTGGGGATGCAGGAGTTGGGATCTCTCTGGTTCACATTCCTGAGGAGGGGGTGATTCTTTGCGGAGTGGGGAGGGGGGACTGGGACTTAGCTTTTGTGGCCTGGTTCACCTTTACTTGGCCACAATGTGAAAAATTCCTTCCCGAATCCAAAAGACACACTGCTCCAATGGGTACACTTGGTCTTCGAGCAATCTTATAAAGCAGGCAACTAATCCTTTACTGCCAAATGGCTTAAACTCAACATTAACATAAATGGGCACAGGTACCCTATCTGCAAGTCTGTTTTGCTCTCAGGGCACAAGCTTCCCCACGGAGGTGTGTGGGGAGGTTCAAACCCCTTTGGCCACTGCCCAAACCCTAACCTGACATCCCGCTGGCCCTGTAGACGATATCCCTTCTGCCCACTCTCCTCCTCCACCGTGCCCACAAAGCTCTCCTGTGCTGCTCTGGCACTGTCTTCTCCTCCACCTCCCAGCTCCCCACTACTCCTCACCACTGTCTTCACCCGCCCACCTCACCGCTCCCCTCCCCTTCCTGCGCCTCTGCCGCCATTCCCCCCCCACTCCACACTGGACCTCCCTCCTCCCTCTCACTGCCAGCTGGTAACGTTCCCACACGGTGCCCTCATCATCCCTCTCCCCAAAGGCCTTTGACATGGTGCTCACCCCGGTCTCTTCTTCTCCTTCATGAGGTAGCAGTACTAAAGGCTTGGTCCACATTCATGTCCTTCATTCCTTCTCTGATCTCCCAACACTCAACATCTTTGCTGCTGACCCGTAGGATTATATCAAAAGCTTGAATTCATTATTCAATCCCATGACTTGATCTACAAAGATCTCTGTGTTATTTTCACTTCTGCTCTTTCTCCTCAACAAAAGGTTAAACTCTGGCTGGCAGCTCAAGCCACAGCACCTAACCATCCCATCAGGACAGCCAAGTGCAAACCCCCCATAAAATTATCAGCCCAATGCCAATGGCTCAAAGCACATTACAGGAATGATTGACTGAATCTTAGCAGATCTTCAAAAAATCTCCTGTAAACCGGCTAGTTACCAAAGACCTGGGGAACTAACCCAATAGGCTGACGATAACTCTGCTGAGTTACAGAGGCTCTTGCTGGATTTACTAACATAAAGCCCAAATCCTCTGAGGGAATCATTCTCCTTAATTCCCATTTTATTTCTTAACAACTCCAAATATTCAAGTCAAATCTTTAAAAACTCAGATCTTGGCCCTCACGCCCACCAGGGACCCTCCTAGGTGTGGCTTTCCATGTTTTCAACAATAGAGGGAACAACAAAAGTGGGATGACCTTTAAAAAGTTGACTCCAGGCTAAACTCCAAGGCCAATTCCCAGTAGCCTCTAAACATCAATGAGGGCTCAAACTTATTTTTTTTTTTTTTTTGTCTTTTTCATTTTTATCGGTACCGGGGATCGAACTCACGACTGCCTGCTTGCAAGGCAGGTCCTTATGCCACTGAGCTAAATCCCCAGCCCCAAGAGGGCTCAAACTTATGACCAGCAGGTTTCTTGGGCCCACCCATTCACCTTACAGCCCCCCCCCTTGTCCCTGTCCTCAAATCCAACAACTCCTGCTGCCTGATCAAGACCTCAGAGCCATTATTAGCAGTGAGACGAGGATGATTCCACCAGCGGTGCCAAACCCTTATACTATACTCATATCCTTCCGTCTGCCTCTCATTTTTCCATGTTAGACCTTAAAGACATCTTTTCACTATTCCCTTACATCTCGACTGTCAAGATCTCTTTGCTTCACATGAACAGATGCAGACACACTCTGGTCTACACAGCTCACACAGAGAGTTCTGCCTCAGGGATTCGGGGACAGTCCACATTTCTTCAGCCTTGCAAGTGCTTGCAGGAGACTCAAGACTCTCAATTTTGGGGCTGGGGATTTAGCTCAGTGGCATAAGCGCCTGCCTTGGAAGCAGGCAGTGGTGAGTTCGATCCCTGGTACCCTAAAAAAGAAAAAAAAAAAAGACTCTCAATCTTAAACCCAGGATTCTGTGGGCTGGGGATTTAGCTCAGCGGCATAAGCACCTGCCTTGCAAGCAGGCAGTCGTGAGTTCGATCCCCGGTACTGATAAAAAGGAAAAAGACAAAAAAAAAAAAAAAAAAAAAAAAAAAAACCACCCAGCATTCTGCTCCAGTATGTGGATGATCTTGTCTGTTCTCCACGCTATGCGGTAGTTAGATGACACACAGTGACCCTTCTCAACTTCCTCTCAGGTTGGGGGTACAAAGTGTCTCCCACAAAGTCCCCTTCACAAAGGTCAGACACCCGGGGCTCACTGTCACCCTCACCACCCCTTCTACAACCTCTGGCCACAGAGCCCTGCTCCATGATCTCCCGGTGCCAACTACAAAACAACACAAGTTTTCTTTTCTAGGCCTGGGTAACTTTCTTTGCCTCTGGATTCGTAGCTTTGCTCCACCAGCCCAACCTCTCTGTAAGGGGTCGAAATGTTTCCTACCGGAGCCTCGACCCTGCTACTCCCACCGACCCCTCGTTTTCTAAACTAAAGGAGGCCTTTTAAGGCCCTGCCCTCACTCTCCCTAACAACCCAGCCTTTCACTCTGTACAGAGCCTCTCAAGGTTGTGATGCTGTGGGAGTTTTAGGACACCAAAGGGACCTTCTCTCGGAGCAGCAGCCTCGCAGAGCCGTCAGACAGCGCAGTGTGGCTGCCTCTGGCCTCCCTGTCTTCGAGCCCTTGTCTCAGTAGCTGCACTGGCTCAGGAGGCCAAAGAGTTCACTTCGAGGCAGTCGCAGTCCACTGCCCACTGCTTTAGTGACCTGATTTCACACAGACACTTCCTGCCTTATGACCGCATCTCACTCACAAGTTCACTTAGTACTCATACAAGGCCCTGCGGTCACCATGTCCTCCAGCAGACCCTCGACCCAGCCACCTCCCCACTCCTCTGATGACGCCCCTTTCCACAGCTACACTGAGGCCTTTCAGAGTACTTCTACAGCCTTCCCTCTTCACACTGACAGCATCCCTCTCCCTACAGTCCTCCTCCTCCTGCTTCTTCTCCTCCTCTTCCGCCTCCTCCTCCTCTATTGCCCTTTGAGGCAGGGTCTCACTATGTGGTTCAGGCTGGCCTTGGGCTCACTTGTAGCCCAGACTGATCTCGAACTTCCAGTGACCTACAGCTTCTGATACATGGTTCATAGATGGCAACTCAACCAACACAGACACTCAAAAAAGACAAATTATGCTATAGTCAGGGCTGTAAGATAATACAGGCCAGTCCACTGCCACCCGGACATCTTCACGAAGATATCCGTATTACCCTCACACGGGCCCTCACGCCAGCTAAGGACAAAACCACAAACATCCGTACTGGCTCCGAAGATACATTCAGCATCCTTCACTCTCATGCTGCCACTTGGCTAAAAAGGGGTCTAATTACCCCACAAGAAACCCCCCAGCATTAATTCATCCTTCATTCTCAAACTACTAAAAACAACAGAATGCCCAAAACAGACAGCAGTCATTCGCTGCAAGGGACACCAAGCATCATCAGACCCTCCTCTCAGGGTAGGGCCTATGCTGACCGACAGGCCAAACTAGCGGCACGACAGCCATGCCCCTCTCAGCGTCTCCCCCTCACCCCAAACACCCTGCTCTCACCTCAGCCATCACCCACAAGGATACAATTACCTCACAAACCTACTTGTGGTCAAAACATGCAGGGACAGACTGTCCAAGGCTCAGAATTCCTCCTCCCAGACCAACAGGCCTCAAACACCATCAGGCCGACACGACTGCATCCACACAGACACTTGAGCCCCACACAGACTCCTACTCGTCCTTCCCCAAAGAACACCGTTCACCAAGTCACCCACCCCTGTCATCTCTGTGCCAAATCCTCCCCTCAGGGACATCTACCTCCTCCTTCCTTTCCAACCCTCCAACTTCAAGGCCACACCCCAGACAGAGGAACAAATGGAGTTACTCACACAGCTCATTGTAACGCCTGCCCACCCCCAGCTTCCCTGTTCGTAGCCCCGGTGATCTGTTAGTCCTTCACTCCCTGTCATTTTGACTGCTGGTTCTCATCTTCGCTATCTGCTGTAGACCGTCTCTCCCTGCAACACCAACGCTCTCCTAGCGCTGCTTCAACCCTTGATCTTACCCGCCTCCCGCTGTTCCTCTCGTTCTCCTCCTAGGACCAGCTTTACTGACAGCCCCCGCCACAACCTCACTACTCCTCCCCCCATACATCCCACCCCCAAACCCCAAGTTCAAACCAAAATTCTCCAGTGCTACCACACACAACAAATAGCCCCAGCTCCAGCCAAGCCTCTCCCTGTCCTCTCTATGAGCTCCCATGATGCCCCTGCCTTCACCTCCACGTCTCCAAAACTGACAACAAAACCCTTGTGACGATTAACCACACAGCCACCGACACATCCACGACTCTTCACTTCCTACACCGTCAGCTCCACCCCATCACACAAACACGGCCATCACCATGATGACCGGACACGCCACCACCTGTTGGCAATGTGCGCTCCCTCCGCCCCACCAGCCCTACACCATGCCGACACTGACCCAGGCTATATTTTATGCCTGGGGATCCCAGACAATGGGTCCTTATCAGGAGGGCTCTCATGAAACAGACAGACACCCCCGTGTCAACGTTCTTCTCCAGCAGACGGCTAACAAAAAACATCACTGCGACAGAATCATGAAAAACACACCTTCCACCAACACCTTTTAGGGGAAACGCGGGTGCAAGCCTTTTATGACTGAGCGGGTCCCTCCACAGCCTCCTGTTTCTCTCAGTGCCCACCAGGGCCCACTCCTGAGCACCTTGCTGACGCTGTCCCCCCACCCCGCGCCCTGGACTCCCCACACCACAGCTCTCCCTTTCCTCTCTCCTTAAGGGAACGATCCAGGCTCTGTTCAGCAATGTTACTATCCCTGGCAAGGTTTCTCCACCTGGTCTCTGAGGGGCTGAGCCCCTCTCTGCTCCTCTTGACGGGGCCTCTATATTTTTACCTATAGCTCCCTGTCTTTTCAAACTTTTCCCAAGATTTGTTCCATCTGGGACACAGACCTTCACTACCAGGCTGAGACCCCGGCCCCAGCTTCTACTTGGCCTGATCCATAATCAGGCAGCTATAACTGGCCCCCCATAGCAATCTCCCCAGCAGGAAGCAGGCTGATCACCACCCCACTCACCCACAAAAGCGAAAGATGGAGACGATGGTTCTGCCAGCCTGGGGCTTAGCTGCCTCTGACATGGTATCTGCCCAGCTTGGCACCAGGCCCCAAAAACTGCAGCGCCTCTCTCCAAAAGTAACTTCTGACATCTTCTCCTCATTCCAGAGATAAACCTCCTGCTCCTTTTTTGCACATGCACCAAGCCCTCTCCAGTCCCAGGACTCTACAAGCACCGAAGCGCTGCACCCCCAGCCCAACTCCATAAGGGCCATCCTCAGCTCCCCCTTGCTGAGGGTCCTTGCAGTCTCCACCAGCCTCCTGGGCCAGCAAGAAAGGCTTTTTCTTTTCTCTGTCTTTGTCTCTCAACTGTGCCAAAAAGCCTAACACCGCTCTCTGCCAAGTAAGCAAAGTCCACACCATTCCCCAGACCACACCTGCTCAGCCGCCAGCCTTCCTGGGGGTCATCGGTGTGAGGGGCACTCTGGGTGTCACGGGGCCGAGCAGCTGCCTGTGGTCTCTGGTCCCGGACGCAGCTCCATACTGCTGGAACTGGAGGTGGACCACTGGCCTTCCGGGGTCTGCTCTTAGCACCCCCAGCTCCTCCCACCGAGATCAGGAACAGTGACATTTGCTGCAGGAGAGCAGAGGCCGCCCACCTCTTCTCCCCTCTCTCCTCCTCTCTTGCTGCTCCAGCAAATTCAGTCCCTTCCTGCCCACTCCAGTCCTCCCTGCCTGCTCTGCGTCCCTGACCACTTACATGAGGTTCCCACCAGTCCCCGCCCCTTCTGTGCCACCATTAACATGTCCCATCTTCTGACACCGTCTTTGCTGGACCACCAGCACCACATCCATCCTGGGTTCCCAGGGCACCCGGAGCCATAGCCTGGGACACAGCTTCCTGGACAAGATTCCTGATAACTGGGGCTGGGGATTTAGCTCAGCGGCATAAGCGCCTGCCTTGTAAGCGCACGGTCGTGAGTTCAATCCCTGGTACCGATAAAAAAAAAAAAAAAAAAAAAAGATTCCTGATAACCGAGTAGGAGTTCATTTGTCAGGAGCACAGGGGAGAGTGAGCCAGCCAGGATGGCATGTGGCAGGGCGCGTGCCATGCAGGTCATGCAGGCGACTCGAGCTCTGGCCTGCGGCACAGGAGAGCAGGCAGTGTCCTCTCCACATCCATGCACAGCAGCTGGGACGGCTCCGAGTGACAGCTGTAGTCAGCAGCTCCCAGCAGAAGGGACGGCGGCTTCCACGGAGAAGAGGAAGTGGAGTGCGTGGCGGGGCCCACATGACTTGTCTCCAGGCAGGGCAGGGGCGCAGGTCCCTGTGGAAGGGGCTCCCTCTGAGCACAGGTCACCTCTCCTTGAAGGAGCCAACCCATTCCTGCCAGCTGGCGCAGATAAACTGGTTTGAGTTTGAGTGCTGGGCTGAGCCAGGGCTGTCACACAGGGCTGTACCCCATCCTGATTCTATTTGTTTTGAGACCGGGTCTCTCTAAGTCACTCAGTTGCCAAGCTTTGGGGTGACTGAGCCAAACTTCACGGCTGGCTCACTGGAGACAAAATCAGGCTCCAAAACAGCTGTTTCCTGTCACTGCAGCACCACCCACGGCCCAGCATCTGGACCCCGGGCTGCAGCTGCACAGGGGGCAGGGCCCCCCAAGGTTCCACTGTGGGAACTGCAGAGGCCCTGGGGTGCGCTTCCTCCAGTCTAGTGATGTCCAGGCTAAAAGCCTCTGTAAAATTGGTGGATGTCATCCCCAGGAGGCTACTGAGCTTCCTCCCTGGCTGGTTCTGGGGAAAAGCACATTGTTCTTCTGGTACCTGGCCATGTTACCCTGGCTCTCAGACAGCCCAGCCCGGAGAGCCTACCTGGTGGTTTCTAGAAGAAATGTCGAGGGTAACGTTGTAAAATTGCGGAACACATTCGTATCCGTCCATTTTCTGTTGCTTTTCAAAATACCTGAAATAGGGTAACAGGTGAAGAATAGAAGTCTATTTAGGTCACAGTGTTAGAGGTTCAAGAGCAGGGTAAGGGCCCCTGGGCAGCATCAGAAGGTGGCCAATGGCAAAATGGGGGGAATGTGGTTGGTGGGGTGTGTGTGAGCGAGAGACAGAGACAGAGAGAGAGACAGAGACAGGGAGAGACAGAGAGTTTACAGGGCCAGGCAGGGTGCAGGAGGCCGAGAGGCTCGGGACTGGCTGATTGGTTTAATAAGGATCCACTCTCCCAGAAAGGAATTCCCCGTGGGACAGCACTGGTGACCTGAATCACACAGTCACCTCCCACCCCCTCTCAGTGCTCTGCACACGACCTTTGGGGACACTCAAACCAGTGCAAGCCACAGCCACACCTAAAAAGTAGACACTTAATGGACGAGTCCCTTTGTCCCTTCTCTCTCCTGCAGCGACTAAGCTGTGCCGTGTGACGACAGTGTTCAAACGTCCCCCTCCACTGTCCCTGCGTCCTCTCCCAGTGGCTTACGTTCCATGCAGGCCTTTGACTACACGCGGTACTGAGCCACTGCCCCGACCCCAGTACCCCAAAAGCATCCGTGTCCTCATCCCCGGAAGCTGTGTACATGTTGGGCTGCGTGGGGAAGGAAAATGAGGAACTAAGCTTGTCAGTCAGCTGGACTTCAGGTAATGGATTATCCGGGATTATCTGGGTGGATCTAGCATAATCACCGGGTTTTAAAATTGAGGTACGAGAGGCAGAAGAGGGAGTCATCGGGGAGACGTGGGAAGAACTTGTTTGGGGCTTTGAAGATAAAGCAGGGGAACCACAGGCCTGGGAACGCGGGAGCCCCAGCTGGAGAGGGAGGCAGGGGCCCTGCCCTGGAGCGGGGCAGCCCTGTGACACCGTGCTCCCCACCAGAGAGGCCTACTCTGGCCTTCACAACCCCAAAACTGTAGCAACAGGTTTGTGTCGCAAGCCAGTGAGTTTGGGGCAGTTTGTCAGAACAGAAACAGAAAACTAACAGGCCGTCACCTCCTGAGAAGGAGCCTGGCCTACTTCCCCGGGATGGCGGATGCAGGAGCAGCCCCTCAGACGGGGCCACTTCTGTACCCAGAACCCCCGAGGATCCAGGACCGAGGATCGGGGCTCAGGTGAATGAGACTTCAGGATGAGTGAGAGAGGGGTGGAGGTCACTGGGAGCCAGAGATGGAGAGGCAGGGAGAGGGAGAGGAGCCAGGGCTTCTAGTCGCTGAAGGGGCACTGAAGCCACTGGGACCCACAGATGAAGGCCCCTGTGGGCTTCCGCGGGGAGCCAGGGAGGGACAGGCTGGTGACCCAGCATGAGCCACAGATCAGGCGCTGGGACAGGAAGGGGCAGGGAGCGCAAGGAAAGAAGCCAAGCAGGGAAACACCCAGCTTCCGCTGGGACATTCAGGTGACACCTGTTGCCACAGACCGTGTCCAGAATTAGGGTGGGTGAGGAGCTCCATTGTCTCCTCGGGCACCGCCCGGCCTGTTTCTGCATCCCCCGCCCGGCGGCTGGGATAAAGGGGCTGCAGTCTCAGGTGGAGGAGAGGCTGGAGCTGAGCAGGATGCCGGGCCGCACGGTGGGGAGCTGGGCTCCCCTGGGGCTGCTCCTGGTCTGCCTGCATCTCCCAGGTAGGGGGCTCTGCTGGGGCTGGACACAGGGAATGGGTGGGAGACAAGAAGGGCACAGAGCCCACGCTCGGGTCTCAGCAGAGGGTAGTGGGTGGCCGAGTTGGCCCCACACATCCAGCTCATGGGCGCTTTGTCTCCCCCAGGCCTCTTTGCCCGGAGCATCAGTGCAGCAGAGGAGAAAGTGGCCTCCTCCCCGTGGGCCAGCCTGCCCGCACCGGGCCAGCCTCCCCTAGCCAGCCCCTCCGGGGCCGGCCTTGCCCAGCCCCACGCAGACCCAGAGGCCCAGGACGTCTCAGGGCTTCCTTCCAAGTCCCAGGCCGCAGGGCGCTCAGGGAGGCAGGTGTGGCCCCTGTCCTGGGGCCTGCCCCCCTCCGAGTCCTGGCCCCTTGAGTTCCCCTGGCAGATGGTGGCCCCTGCAGCTGAGGACCTTCGGGGGCAGGCGCTGCCCGAGGCGCTGGCCTACCTGTCCAATGCCGGTGCGCTCCCTCCGGTCAGTGGGTCCTGGCCAGCCGAGTTCTCCACCAAAGCTGCGCAACCCTCGCCTGAAGCCCTGCCGGCCCACCTGGACTCTGCGGCACAACGGCTGTCCCTTGCCTCTCCACTGGGAGTCCCAGGCAACCTTGCCCAGCGCCCGTTCTGGTCTCTCATCTACAGACTGCTGCCGCACCTGCCCTGGGGGGCCCTGAATCCCAATGTGCCTTGGGGAGGGGGGCTTCTGGGGACAGGATGGGGAACGAGGCCCATGCCCTACCCTTCTGGAGTCTGGGGTATCAACAGTCAGTTCCCAGGAGGCAACTGGGGGAGTATTAGCCGGTATCCGGGAGGCAGGTGGGGGACTAGCTGGTACCCAGAGGCCAGCAGCTCCCCAGACAAAGCGCCCACCAACCGGTATCCAGTGAGCAGCTGGGGGAGTAACAGCCGGTATCCGGGTGCCGGCCGGGGGAACACTGCTCCTGGAGTCGTCCGTCCTCCTGGCCCTTCCTGGTACCTCCCAGCTGGCCTCTCCAATCCCCCAAATCCTGGCTTGCAGTAGGGCTGGCACTGAGCACAGGGAGCTCACGGTGGGAAGACAAGAAGGGGTGCTGCCCTGCCCCTCACCCCGTGGGCGACATCAGGCTTAGCAGGGTGCTTTCCAGCCCCGTGCCCCCCTGGCTCCTGGCTGCCCCATGCTGGTCCCCAATAAACAGCAGTTCCTGGCTCGACATGTCTCCGTGCCTTTGTTTCTGGGGATAAACCCCAGTTGTTTGGCCTGGCCTCACCTTCCAGCCAACTCCCCATCTCTGGAGTCCCCTCTGACCCAGGGTCTCCCCAGTCAGGTGCCACAGTGTTGCTGGGACTAGGTGGGGAAGGAGAGGCGCAGGACGGGTCCCTGGAGGCCAGGAGCCAGCACAGGACCAGGCCAGACATGAACCCCTGATCGTAGCAGGCTTGAGGTCACGCTGTCCCGAGTCTGGCTAGGTCACCCTCGTCTCCTCCCCATCACTCAGCGCCCATGTGGACGCTGAGCGGCTGCTGAGAGAATCGCAGCCTGGGCCAGGGAGGAAAGAAATTGAGAGGGGAGGAAAGGGGAGGAGATTTGGTCCCCGCGGCCCAGCTGCTGCTCCCTGTCCGCCTCCCGTCTTCCCCGCAGGGGCCTGTAGCTCCCGGCAGCAGCGCGGAGCAGCAGAGTTGCAGGAGAGGGTGGTGGCACACACAGTCTCTGGGCTTGTGTGCTGCAGCGGGTACTCGGCCCTCAGAGATCCAGGCACCTGCGCCGGTGTACAGCCCTGGACCCAAGCCCAGGGCACTGGGCGGCTCTGGGGGAGGAGGCAGGAGCAGGACAAACCCAGAGCCAAGTACGGGCATCGCAAGAGGAGCCCGCAGCCTCCGCCCTGGTGTCTGCCCCACTCCTGGCTCCCACAGCCCCCTCTTCCCAGCCACACCTCTTCCACGCTCCTACTCCGGCTCCAGACCTTTCCCGCTTGCGCAGGCCCAAGCTCCGGCTTTCAGGATTGAGGGCTTGTTTTTCTCTATTACTCTTCTATTGACCTCTTTGCTCTGATCTGCATAGTTTTCCCCTGTGTTGGGGACTAAACTCAGGGTGTCTGAACTCTTTATTATTCTGAGACTGAGTCTCCCTAAGTCTCTAAGTGGTCAAGGCTGGACTAAATATTTCAATCCTCCTGCCTCAGCCTCCCAGAGCGCTAGGATCACAAGCATGTGTTTCAACACCAGGCGAAGACCTTTCGCTTCTGCATCAACATTTCCCTGCTCCACGCCCCGCGGGGACTCTGCCAGCTGCCGACTGCTGCACGCCCAGCGCCAGACTGGTGCTCGGCAAACACTGAGCACGCCGAAGAACCCCCTCTCTGTCTCTCCCTCTCTGAGGCCTGCAAAGGCCCGCGTGTTACAGGCACCGGCCCAGAGTGGCAGCCCTAGGAGGGGGCAGGAAGCGTGTGAGGAAGTGGTCTTCAGGTCACTGGGTGCCCTGGAGGGGGGCCTGTGGGCCCGGCCCTTCCTTCTCTCTGCTCCCTGGATCACCATGAAGTCTGCCATGACGTGCTGCCCCCTACAGGCCCAAAACAACAAGCCCAGTCCACCATGAACTGGGCCAAAACAGCCTTTGCTCTGTGATCTGCTCCTGTCAGGACTCTGCAGGGCAGAAAGCCGGCTGACAGCGGCGTCCCTGCTGTTTCCCCCTCCGCTTTGCTCCTGAGCCACCCGGCTGCACAGTCCAAATCCACGCTCTTCCCAGCACCTCACCGGCGCTTACTCAGCTGGTGGCCAGTGGCTCCCTGTCCTGGCTTCCAGGTCCTCAGGGACTGGCCAGCACCTGCCCCCCCCACCCCCTTCATGTCACGAATTTGCTGACCCCTAGCCGAGGAGCCCAGGACTTGCTTCCTCGAGGGGCAGCCCCGGCAACTCCTCATCACACTTCTCAGCGCACGCTGCCGGATGTGGGATGGGCCCTGTCCTTCCCCAGTCGGGGGCTCCCCAAGTTTAGGGCCACAGCGCTGCAGCCTCAGCCACTTTGGCCCTGGGGGTGACTGGACACCAGGCCAGGACCCTGTGCAGCGCTCAGGGCTAGCACAGCCACCCCCATGGCTTCAAGACCCCTGGGGCTGCTCCCCGCGCCTGCCCAGGTGACAGGGCCCCAACCCGCCACTATGGAGCGGGGCCTGCAGCAGGAGATGTCACTCTGAGGGGGAAGGGAGAGGTGCGAGGAGCACCTGTGGCTGTCCGCTGTCCGGTGACACCATGGGTGAAACAGTGCTAACTCCCTTCACCTTGACTCCTGCACCCACGGTGATGGTGACACCGGCTTCCTGCACCATACTCACTGGGGACCAAGGGAGTCACGAGGTGATTCCAGCACTCACAGCCCTCACCCAGGGTGTCCTGCTTGGGGGCTTTCCCCTCCAGAGAGGGGCAGTGCTGGGGCGTCGCTAAGGGGTTTGGTCCCCAGGGGCCGGGTCGGAGGCTTGGTCCGTACACAGAGTGGCAGACCCGTGGTCACCACGGCGGTCTTCGGCCATTTCCACCAGCCCCGAAGGAAGGCTGGAGCTCCCTCCGCGTTCCCCGAAGCCGCCCGGGCAGCTGCATCCGGCTTTTGTGTCCACGTCTCCGCCTGTGGGAAAATCCCACTCGAGCGAGCTCTGCGCCCCGCGGGCCCTTGACCGGCTTCTGCCACTCACTCTGCGGCCTGTTCACCGGGGGTCCTTGCCGGGCTCGGCTCCCTTTCATCGTGTGCCCGCTTTAGGCGCAGCCCGGGCCTCCCGCCTGTCTGGGCCGCTGTTGGCGGTGGGTGCCATCCAAGGGGCGCTGAGCTCTCGCAGGGGTTCAGGCCGCCCTGCCCTCGGGGAAGCGGTGGCCCGTCGTGCCTTCGTGTGCACTTCCGGGTGACGGTCGCCTCTTCCTCACGGGGACTGAGGCAAGGAACCGGGAGGCACCGCTGTGGCCCGGGCTGTGGCTCATCACCCTCACTGCAGTCCGAGGGTCAGGCAGCGTCACCCGCTTTGCAGAAGGGAAGCGAGCCGGGTGTGTGGCCCAGGCTTGCAGTCCCAGCACTCCGGGAGGCTGAGGCAGGAGGATCACAAGTTGAAGTCCAGCCTGGGCAATTTAGGAATTTATGAGACTTCCCCTCAAAACTAAAAATGAAAAAGGGCTGGGAATGGAGCTCAGTGTGAAGACCCTGGGCTCAACCCCCAGAATGGGGTGGAGAAGGGCAGGGAAGCCCTGTGCGCCCACCCTGAAGTAGCCCCGGAGGCCTCTCCTGTCCCTGCTTCTGTGCCTGCAGCCCTGGGGCTCCCCGAAGCTCTGCCCACCTCCCAGGGCCCCTTTCCTCACTGAGGCCCTAACTTCCCCCACCACGGTTTATTTCACTTGAACAGATAAGAAAGGGAGAGCAAACCACCCCCCTCTTCCCACTCACTAGCTTTTCTCCTTTGTTTGTTTGTGGGCTTTTATTTTATTTTATTTTTTGAGACAGGGTCTGGCTATGCCCTCCAGGCTGGCCTTGAACTCAAAACTGAAAGCCTCTTCCTGAACTTCATGGATGTCTCTTGGATTCTTACTCCCTAAACCCTAGCTAATTAATTAGCTTCGGTGCTAGGAATTGAACCCACAGCCTCGCACTTGCTTGGCAAGCCCTCTACCACTGAGCCCTACGCATCTCCAGCTGGAACTTCGTGATTCGAATGTTTTATTTTGTTAGCTCACTGGATGCCCGCCAGCCGCGTCAGGCGGGCCGCTAGGGGTCCTCACCCCTAGGTGGCGCTGTCGGCCCGCACCCTGGAGCGCTGACAGTGGAGCTGAGCGGTGGCTCATGGAGACCGACGGATTTTGTCGCTTTATAGTCGGTGAACGTGACCTACTGGGAGAATTATAATTTTTAAATATGTATTTATTTATTTTTCGTCTCTTTGAGACAGGGTCTCGCTATGCATTTCAGGCTGGCCATGAACTCACTGTGTAGCCCAGGCTGGTCTTGACCTCGCAATGATCCTCTTGCCTCAGCCTCCTGCATGCTGGGATGACAGGCGTGCGCCACCAGGCCTGGCTGCTGGAACAGTCATAAAACAATTTTATTACTGAAATATGTTTAACTTTCTTGAAGGTAAATAAAGTAGGACTATGAACCTCTATGTACCTCCTGCACAGTAGCAGCAGTACTGACGCTCGCCAGCCTGGGGCCACCTCACTTCCTCCCACAGAACCCCGGAGCTCCGTGCAGCCCTCTGAAAGTTACAGGAAGAGGAGGGAGCTTGTTGAGTTCACTCAAAGGCTGAACTCACAGCTCTGAGCGACAGACAGGCCTGTCAACCTCCTGGCTTTGTTTGTTTTTTGAAACAGGGTCTCGCTCTGTAGCACAGGCTGGCCTTCAACTTGCTGCAGTCCTCCTGCCTCAGCCTCCAAGAGTGCTGGCATTATAAGTGTCAAGGCCAGCCTAGATTATATAGTGAGTTTAGGTCAATTGAATGGTATACTGAGATTCTGTCTCAAAAAACAAAACAATAAAATTTTAAAAAATAAGCCTAGGGGCTGGGGATTTAGCTCAGCAGCATAAGCACCTGCCTTGCAAGCAGGCAGTCGTGAGTTCGATCCCCAGTACCGATAAAAAAGAAAAAGACAAAAAAAAAAAAAAAAAAAAAAGCCTGGCACATGTCTCAGTGCCTTAATACATATTACTGCCTAAATGAGTTTCTATCTGACTTTGAAAGCCAACAGGCTCCACAAGGCTTGGAGAGAAAAGCTGGGGCCGCACATGTGCCGGGCAGCTGTCTCCCACTGAGCCAGGCCCGTGGCTGTCAATGGCTTTTACTTTGTTATTTCTTAGATGTAGTATCTATCAGGAAGGGTCAGGCCCATGAGCAGAGGTCACTCAGGCCTATGAGCCAGGAGAGGGCCTGTAAGACTTTCCCATCCTGTGAGGCCTGACGGGGAGTCTGCTGTGACCCCCAGTGCCACGCACGCTGCCTGGATTTGCCTCTGGTTATGACTTCATCACAAATTTTCCACTAAAATTCCCCAGGAGGAGTAATTGTTCTAAGAAGCCCATTCAAATGTTGTTAGTTACAGACGTTCCTTGTCTAAATCTGTAGTTCCTTTGGGGCTGCAGCCCTTTCTTCTCCACACCAAGCCAGGCCTCAGTTTACCCCACTCCTTGGAGGGCCCAGTGTCTTCATCTCCCAGGCACTACGCCCCCACTCTGAGGA